GGCTTACAGGCGAGAGCCACCGCACCTGGCCACCTATTTCTTCTTTGTAAGTGATGACATTGCACTAGTGAAGGTCAGTGCATTGTTTTAATTTAATTTTTTTTTGTTTTTTTTGTTTTCCAGACGGAGTCTTGCGCCTGGCCCATTCTTTTAATTTTAAAATGATAACCCTATTTTCTACCATGTGCTTCTTCAAAAAAAAAGTGGTAAAAAAAGAGGAGACTTATGGACAGAGAAATAGAAAGCCCTGGCAAAATATTGTACCCCAAATCTGCAGCTGAATCACTACACAGGTGCCAAAATTATACAAAAAAAAGTTACACTGGCTGGGCCTGGTGGCTCATGCCTGTAATCCCAACACTTTGGGAGGCTGAGACAGGAGGATGGCTTGAGGATAGGAGATTGAGACCAGCCTGGGCAACATAGCGAGACCCCCATCTCCACACACAAAAATAACAAAATTAGCGAGGCACAGTGGCATGCAGCTGTAGTCACAGCTTCTCAGGAGGCAGAGGTGGGAGGACTGCTTGAGCTTAGGAGTTTGAAGCTGCAGGGAGCCATGATTGCACACCACTGCTCTCTGACCTGAGCGACATAGCAAGATCGTGTCTCTAAAATAAAATATGTATATTTTTTGAGATGTTGTTTTTCTCTTGTCACCCAGGCTGGAATACAATGGTGTGATCTCTGCTCACTGCAACCTCTCTCTCCTGGGTTAAACAATTCTCCTGCCTCAGCCTCCCTAGTAGGTGGGATTACAGGCGTCCGCCACCAGGCCTGGCTAATTTTTGTATTTTTATTAGAGACAGGGTTTCACCATGTTAGCCAGGCTGGTCTCGAACTCCTGACCTTAGGTGATCTGCCCACCTCAGCCTTACAAATCGTTGGGATTACAGGCGTGAGCCACCATGCCCGGCCGAAATAAAATGTTAAGATGTTTGCAGCTGAATTTTTTGCAGCTAAAATATATATAGCTAATATTTTGCAGCTAAATATTCAAGTACACAAAGGGTAGTTTAAGAACACTTTACCTGCTGGTGTGGTGGCTCACACCTGTAATCCCAGCACTTTGGGAGGCTGAGGCGGGCAGATGACCTGAGGTTAGGAGTTCGAGACTATCCTGGCCAACATGATGAAATCCCGTCTCTACTAAAAATACAATTAGCCAGGCTTGGTGGCGCGTGCCTGTGGGCCCAGCTACTCAGGAGGCTGAAGCAGGAGAATCGCTTGAACCTGGGAGGTGGAGGTTGCAGTGAGCTGAGATCACACCACTGCACTCCAGCCTGGGCAACAGAGCGAGACTCTGCCTTAATAAAAGAAAAGGAACACTTTAAATCTTGGACATAATTCTAACTCAGCAGCATAGCTGCTGTTTGATGAAAAACCAACTATGTAGGCCAGCCATTTTAAAGACATTTCTGTCCTCACCCAGAATGGGAAAAAAAAGCATTTCTGTAAGGAGTTTCTATTTTAGAAAACAGGAAACAGTGTATTCCCATTGTAGTAAACCCTGAAACTTCCCTGTTGCTTTGCTGCCTCTTAGGAGCCCCTTATCATCCCACCCACATCAGGTTTTTTTCATTCTTTTTCATACTGGTGGACCTGGTTCCAGGAGTGGAAGAGACTAGGAGTCGAGCAGCTGCGGCTCAGCACAGTAGACATGACTGGGATCCCTACCTTGGACAACCTCCAGAAGGGAGTCCAATTTGCTCTCAAGTACCAGTCGCTGGGCCAGTGTGTCTACGTGCATTGTAAGGCTGGGCGCTCCAGGAGTGCCACTATGGTGGCAGCATACCTGATTCAGGTACAAAAGTTCTTTCTGGGCTGGGCATCGTGGTACATGCTTACAATCCTAGCATTTTGGGAGGCTTGAAGTGGGAGGATGGCTTGAGCCCAGGAGTTTGAGACCAGACTGGGCAACATGGCAAAGCCGTCTCTACAAAAAATACAAAAGGTTAGCTCGGTTTGGTGGTGTGCACCTGTAGTCCCAGCTACTTGGGAGGCTGAGATGGAAGGATCACCTGAGCCCGGTAGGTAGAGGCTGCAGTGAGCCATGATTTGTGCCACTGCACTGCAGCATGGCCGACACAGTGAAACCCTCTCTCAAAAAAAAAAAAAATCTTTCTGGTCCCATTTATAGCAGATTTCCAGAACTTCAATAGCATGGTCTACTGGTGGGCCTTGTTGGAAGGAGCTGTGTGCTTGATTTCAGGCTGTTGGGAGGTGGTGTGGTATGATGGAAAGCACCTGAGCCTTGTGACAGGCTAACCCGGGGCTCTGCCGCCTGCCAGTGAGGATCAGCAAAAGTGACTGATACCTAATGCTGTTTTCTCAAACTAAATGTATTATGAAGTTTAAATAAGAAATTACATCAAGTGCTGACTACAGCGGGCACTCTAAAAATGGAGTTGCAAAAGATATTCAACCCCAGCAAAAGGCTAGACACTTGTTCTAATACCATGTCAGGGAACAATACTGTAGATAATAGTGATGATCATTTTCAGCTTTATAGTACTCAAGTTTCTTCAAGTATTCCAGAGTCAAGTTCTGGATATTAGTTTCTGGAAACAGGCTCCAAACTAGATTCTGCCTGTTAATTTGTCATGATTGGCAGGTGGGATGCTTTAAAAATATTTAGGAGAGGCCGGGCGCGGTGGCTCAAGCCTGTAATCCCAGCACTTTGGGAGGCCGAGATGGGCGGATCACGAGGTCAGGAAATCGAGACCATCCTGGTTAATACGGTGAAACCCCGTCTCTACTAAAAAGTACAAAAAACTAGCCGGGCGAGGTGGCGGGCGCCTGTAGTCCCAGCTACTTGGGAGGCTGAGGCAGGAGAATGGCGTGAACCCGGGAGGCGGAGCTTGCAGTGAGTTGAGATCTGGCCACTGCACTCCCACGCTGGGCGACAGAGCGAGACTCCATCTCAAAAAAAAAATATTTAGGAGAAACAAATACCCTGTAGTCCATCATCATTTTGTAACCTGGCTCCCACAGAGCATTTTCTAAGTCATGTGAATAGCTAAGTTGGCCTTGTGTTACTGTGGACTGGTGTGTATGTAGTATTGAACAATACTAAAATTTCGGTCATAAGGACTCTGCTGGACTCAGGGTCTCAGGAGGGTATTTGCACCCAGTGAGAATTGAATTAGCAAGCTAGAAATCTGTATTTTCTTGGTCTGTTCAGTTCTAAAACCAATGAGTATCCTTAGGACATGTTTAACCCTCCTATTTAAATTATGAGTACTTGTTTTTCTAGCCATTGGTGACAAGTTGCATAAAAACATCTACTGCAGGCCGGCGCGGTGGCTCACGCCTGTAATCCTAGACCTTTGGGAGGCAGAGGCGGGCGGGATCACGAGGTCAGGAGAGTGAGCCTGGCTAACACGGTGAAACCTCGTCCTCTACTAAAAATACTAAAAATTAGCTGGCGCGTGGGGCGGCACCTGTAGGTCCCAGCTACTCGGAGGTGAAGGTAGGAAATGGCATGGAACCCGGAGCGGAGCTTGCAGTGAGCTGAGATCGCCACTGCACTCCAGCCTGGTGACACAGCGAGGCACTGTCTCAATAAAAAACAAACAAACAAAACATCTATTGCATACTTGTTCCTAGAAGTTCTTTTAACCAAAAGCCACAGCTCGGAGAGAATGTGGAGTAGGCTGAGGCAGCCTGAACTTAGGACCTCAGGCTCTCATGTGCAACTTTTCTTTTTCTAGGATTGGCAGAGCAAGAATTGGGTAGAAAGACTGACTTTCCACCTGGCCTGTTGCATAGTATGTGTGAGACTGCTGACTGCAGTGGTTTACAGTACTCTCCCATTTATAATACACGCAGCATGATTTTTAATGCCTCCCAAAATGGAGTTCCAAAGAAATGAAACTCTCGAAGTCCTTTAGCACCTGCTCATGTGTCAAGGGCACGTTGACACCTGCTTTTTTTTTTTTTTTTTGAGACGGAGTCTCGCTCTGTCACCCAGGCTGGAGTGCAGTGGCCCGGATCTCAGCTCACTGCAAGCTCCGCCTCCCAGGTTACGCCATTCTCCTGCCTCAGCCTCCCGAGTAGCTGGGACTACAGGCGCCCACTACCTCGCCCGCTAGGTTTTGTATTTTTTAGTAGAGATGGGGTTTCACCGTATTCAGCCAGGATGGTCTCGATCTCCTGACCTCGTGATCCGCCCATCTCGGCCTCCCAAAGTGCTGGGATTACAGGCTTGAGCCACCGCGCCCGGCCTGACACCTGCTTCTTTCTTTCTCTGCTGATTTCTCAACCCTGTACTTCAGGTGCACAGATGGAGTCCAGAGGAGGCTGTAAGAGCCATCGCCAAGATCCGGTCTTACATCCACATCAGGCCTGGCCAGCTGGATGTTCTTAAAGAGTTCCACAAGCGGGTTACTGCAGGGGCAGCAAAGGATGGGACTTTTGACACTTCAAAGACATGATGTATGTGGATTAGAAAGAACTCAAGACACTCCTGCTTGATACAGAATAAAAAAAGCTTAACAGGACCCACAGGGCTTAAGCCCAGACTTGACATAACCAAAATGTGCCAATAGGTAATAGGTAATTTTGCTTTCTCTGTCTTGTTTCGTTTTCTTGAAATAACACTGTTGTGTGGCTAGAAAGGAAAAGATTTAGTGTGGCTTGTATTCATGGGATACAGGACAGGGATGGGGCCATCTTCTTTTCTTGAATAGAGCTAAAGAAGTATTTTAACAAAAATCTATTATGTACCTAATATTGTGCCTAATAATATTTAGCACCACAACTCAAAAGACTTAGCACTAGAAAAAAGGAAACTCAGCTCTGGGTCTTTGCCACTGTCAGAATCTGAGTCTCACTGGCCCTGTGGAGTAGGGATCCTGTCTGGAGAAGTGGGAGCATGGGCGCAGTCAGGACTGCTGCAGACTGAGCCATGTGATGGTACGTAAGGAGTCCCTCTGAGGGAATGAAACACTCTCGCCCCTTCAAAGTCACCCCTTCGGAATTCAACACAGACACACATATCCCTTCAAAAACTTTTATTTGTATCAACACTTCCTAGCTCTTGACTTAGCTTAGAGCTTTTAAAAGAGCAGACACCTTACATATTTGAGCTTGAAAAAGTTTCTGCTATTAATCAGAAATAATCATTTCTATTTTCTGGCTTACCCCTTGGAATAAGCCAAAAATAAAACCAAAGTTACATTTCCTGACAGATGGATGAGAAAACAATAGAAGGAACGTCCTGAATTCTACAGTTGACTCTTGCTGGTGAAGTACACCTTCAGCGTAGTCCATTCTCCTAAGTAAAGCCTGAAGGAAAACTCTTAACACCTAATTCTTTGTGGAAAAATGATCAACTAGCCATTTCATAGGTTATAGAACAGAAGTACAATTGGGCATCTTTCCTTATGTCCTGGGATCAGGGGTGCTTATATTTAACATTGATCAGGTAAAGAGGAGAGGCTGTGCCTAAGGTCTGAGAAACAGCTTGCTCTAAGCAAGCTGTGGTGAGGCACACAATGACTAGGGGATGGCAGAGAACAGGCTGGCCTACTGTCAGTTCAAGCAACCAGCTGAGCAGCAGCAGTCTAAAAAGCCCCAAACAGAACACCTCCATGGGTTCAGGGAAGGGCTGAGGCACTGCCTTTCTAGTATGTGCCAAAAAATACATTACTCTGAATTGGGGCCCGGGGGACTTTGAGTTTGGATGGGGAGGGAAAAGGAGTAAGCAGCTCTCCTCCCCTCCCCACAGCCTTAGGCCAACACAAACTGCAAATTGGTAAGCAGCACCTTAATACCTCTTGTGACAGTTACGGCTGAAGTGGCAGGGTCAAGCTTGTAGGTGTTGGCATCCCCCTTTTTATATCGGTCCCGGAAGACATAGATGCTCCCGTTACAGCTGGCAATCTTCCAGAGGGATGGGGCAGAGCTCCAGGCCTCAGGAAGGCAAAGCCGGGTGAAGCTGTCTAGCAAGGGATTGTAACATACCAGAGAGTCCCCTTCAGCCACGATGAACACCAGATCTTTATGCACAGCTGCGTGCATGTGGCCTGCAAAGGGCAGCACATAGGGCTTCACATGGCATTTGTCTGTCTCTGTGTCAAAGCACTGGATGAGTCGGGAAGGTTTGGTAAAGAAGTCCAGATCATTCTCCTCCCCCCCTAGTAAGTAGATGATCCCGTTGAGGTTGGCACCAGCAGCCCCTGACACAGCCACCTCTAGCTGGGTTGTCTCTGTCCACACATTATCACCTACGCGATAATAAATGACTGCATTGGAGAGGGTATCTTGCAGTGTCTTGCCACCCAGTGAATATATGGCATCTTTCCCGGGCACAGACACCAGGGTGTGCTGGAGCCGGTCCCGAGGCAAAGGAGCACACCACTCCCAGTCAACGGTGGCATTGTTGCACTTCCACATGCGCCGTGGGATGGACCCTCCCACCACATACAAGTCTCCACCATGCTTGCAGGCCGCAGTGATCTGGTGGCACAAGCTGTTTTGGCCACTTACACTGATGGAGTCATCTTCTGCACAGTGCAAGGACACAGCCAACGAGTGGGTACGAGATGACTCTTTCCCAATCAGGTAAATGTGCACATTCTCCCCAATTTCCTATTGGCAAAATTAAAATTATATGACAGCTGTTAAGTTCTAGGCTAAGGCTCCGCTAAGACACATATCCTTAAGATCCCGGACTTTACACCTGTACCTAGCTTTAACATACTACTCTCTAATTACTGTATGGCATCCAACTGTCCTCTAGTCACTTTCTTTGAGGCAATTTATGCCGGGAGGAGAATCTTGTATTCACCCTTGTAACTTTTAAAACTCTCATAAGCTGGTGCTTTGGACAAAGGGTGATTAAGATTGTTAACTTGATGAAAGTAGTTCTCAAGGAACTTTGAAAGCTCATAGATTGGTGGTTCTGGGGTTACAAAGACATCCTTCTCCCCAGCTTACATCAACTTCAAGCCAGAGATGACTTATTCAAAAAAATAATAAATAAATATAAAAAATTTAAAAAACAGAGATGGCCAGGCGCGGTTGCTCACACCTGTAATCCCAGCACTTTGGGAGGCTGAGGTGGGCAGATCATCTAAGCTCAAGAGTTCGAGACCAGCCTGACCAATAGGGTGAAACCCTGTCTCCACTAAAAATACAAAAATTAGCTGGGCGTGGTGGTATGCGCCTGTAGTCCCAGCTATTCGGGAGGCTTAGACAGAATTGCTTGAACCCGAGAGGTGGAGGTTGCAGTGAGCTGAGACCATGCCATTACACTCCAGCCTGGGCAACTCTGTCTCAAAAAAAAAAAAAAAAAGCAAAAACGAAAACAGATGACCATTCACAACCTGGCCATCAAAAAGAGGCCAGGTTAGGTCAGGCGCATTGGCTCACGCCTGTAATCCCCAACACTTTGGGAGGCCAAGGCGGGCGGATCGCCTGAGGTCAGGAATGAGACCAGCTTGGCCAACATGGTGAAACCCGTCTCTATTAAAAATACAAAAATTAGCTGGGTGTGGTGGTGGGCATCTGAAATCCCAGCTACTTGGGAGGCTGACGCAGAAAAATCACTTGAACCCAGGAGGCGGAGGTTGCAGTGAGCCAAGATCGCACCATCGCACTCTAGCCTGGGTGACAACAGCGAAACTCCATCTCTCTCTCTCTCACACAGACACACATACATACACACAAAGAGGCCAGGTTAGGCCAGGCACAGTGGCTCACACCTGTAATCCCAGCACTTTGGGAGGCAGAGGCAGGCGGGCCATCTGAGGTCAGGAGTTCCAGACCAGCCTGGCCAATGTGGTGAAACCCCATCTCTACTAAAAAATACACAAATTAGTCAGGCGTGGTGGCAGCACCTGTAATCCCAGCTACTTGGGAGGCTGAGGCAGGAGAATCGCCTGAAACTGGGAAGTGGAGGTTGCAGTGAGCTGAGATTGCGCCACTGCACTCCAGCCTGGGCGACAAAGCAAAAATCGTCTTTAAAAAAAAAAAAAAGGCCAGGTTACCTGATGGCGAGAATGCATGGAGAGTGTGCAGTCTCAGCAATTAAGAGATTTGCCTTACCTTCAAGCTTGTCCTGAGTGACTCTGCAAAAGCCTCTCTTTCCTCTTTATTAAAGTTAATCCAGGCTTCTATTGCCTCTGTTGGGTTCTGAGAACATGGAACTCCATCTGTGAGAGCCAGAGGAAAGGCATGGTCAATGACGATCCGAAAGAGAAATTCAGAGTAAGGGACTTTAAAAGATGTGAACCGCTTTATTAGACTACTGCTGGGCATGTGTATATATGTCCATGCATACATACACATATACATGAAATTAACCTGAAATTGCCTTTTTTTTGGGTGGGGGGCAGGGTCTCACCCTGTCGCTCAGGCAGGAATGCAATGGCACAATCACCATCACCGTAGCCTCAACCTCCTGGGCTCCAGCAATCCTGGTACAGCCTCCCAAGTAGCTGGAACTACAGGTGTGCACCACCACGCCTGGCTAATTTTCTTAATTTCTGTATAGACAAGGTCTCGCTATGTTGTCCAGGCTGGTCTCAAATTCCTGGCATCAAGCGATCCTCCCTCCTTGGCCTCCCAAAATGCTGGGATTACAGGCATGAGCCATCATGCCTGGCATGCCTTGCTTTTTTTTTAAAGTAGTCTCATGTTACATGAGGCCTCAAAAAGTTGGGTAAAGACTCACAACTGTTCCTCTCCATGGAAATCTTTAGTAAAAGGCAAAATATTTATACAATCTGAAGAAAAACCAGAGTATGTGCCTTGCTTTTTTAAATCAAAATGGATGGCTCGATATGCTCCCATCTGCCATGGAAGCAACCTACTAAGCTATAGAGCTCACACTATTTTTTTTTTTTTTGAGATGGAGTCTTGCTCTGTTGCCCAAGCTGGAGTGCAGTGGCATGATCTTGGCTTACTGCAACCTCTGCCTCGGGGTTCAAGTGATTCTCCTGCCTCAGCCTTCCCAATTAGCTGAGACTACAGGTGCCCACCACCACATCCAGCTAATTTTTGTATTTTTTTGTGGAGACGGGATTTCACCATGTTGGCCAGGGTGGTCTCGAACTCCTGACCTCAGGTGATCCGCCCACCTCGGCCTCCCAAAGTGTTGGGATTACAGGCGTGAGCCACCGTGCCTAGCCAACCTCACACCTTAAGTATGGTTATATCTCACTTGCAGGGTTAGCATTGTTTCCTGACGTTGGCCCATCACTAAAAAAGTTTTAGTCTTAGATATCTTACCTCATCACCAATTTACATAGGTAATTAGACCCACCGGGACATCCAAAGTACAGGAGAAATTAGAGTATAATACAAAGCACTCCTCGGTACTTTTGTGTGGTTAAGTGTTGTGCTTTAATTTTCCTGGCTTCTTCCTCTAACACACTGTGTCTCTGACAGCAATTACACTGAATCTCAACTCAATCTTTCTTAGCAGGTTATCTCAGTAAGAATGCAGGAATAATAATGTAAATTAACACCAGGAAGCATGAGGGTTCCTTTCTCCTAAACTAGAACATTCACTGAACATCACAGCCAAGTAACTGCGTATGCTGTGTCCCCTCCCTAAACTTACCCGAGATGATATCTGTGAGTAGGTGGTGAGGCAAGTGGAGAAATTCCTCTGTATTCTGCAGCTGGGCCAGGTGGGTCTTGGCACAGTGTTTGGCAGCAGTATAGAGCTCAGGATCACTGTGCCGATCTGCCAGCCACATCACCTGAAGGCAGTTTCCCACTTGCACTGTGCGGGCCAAAAACCGAGAGCATTCCTCAAAGAGAGATGTCAACTGATACATGTCTGACACCTCATAAATTTCCTGCAACTCCTCAGCTCGAAGTTTCACAGTCCCATGGTAGATATAATCAACCAGGAGCTGGAAAACAGACTCACTGACATCCTGCAGCACAATCACCCGGTTGTGGGCCTCCTTCAGGTTAGAAGTGAACATGGATCGGAAGAAGCAGCTCTGAGCTGAGAGGACCAGCCGATGGAGCTGAAACTCCCGGCCTTCCACCGAAATGGTGACATCAGCAAAGAGCTCCTCCTCTAGACACAGTTTCATGATGCCTTGAGCCACACGGCCTGAGTGTGACCGATCTTTGAAAGTATAGTTCACAAAGTAGTTCTCATCCATGGATGCTCCAGGCTCCTCTGGTGATTCCATGCTAGCCAACTTCTCTCTCTGCCAGCTGTCTGCAAAGCAACACCACCTTGAGTAACTTGCGGAATTCACAGCCATAATCTGTGAATCCAACTGTCCAACTCAGGGAGGGAAACGGAAGAAGTGACAGCAAAGTGGGTCCAGATTGGCCTTAGTCCTGGTCCTGTCCATGATGTCCCTGACGCTATCCTTTAACCAAACTTGGGTTCGTTCTCCCCAGTGGCACCACTCCGCTAATGAAATAAATAAAAGTTCCAACTCTGGGTGTTTTCCTGAGAAAACACGGAATAATTCCGTTCCATGATATTAACAAAAGACTTGGGATTTAGGTCAATATATGAAAGCAAAGGACTGGGGGAGGCCTGTGACCGTAAAAGCCTTACTAACCAAATAACTGGGGCATAAAACTAGTGAAGTTCGGGGCAGCAGAATCAGACAAAAAGGACCCCCCGCCCCGGCCTAGTGGCCAGGTCCTCTCCTTCCCCGCGCATGGAGTTAAGACGCTCCATATGAGGCCTAGCCTGGGATACACGTCAGTCTCACATTTGCTCTCTTCTGAGCTACTTTCCCCGCTCGCTCGAAAGACTCCCTAAGGCTGCGTCCCAGAACTCAAGTCCAGCCGCCCTCAGGCCGGGGCACTGGGAGGCCCATCGCCCTGTGCAATATCCCCGCTCCACCTGAAGTCGCCTGGGAAACCGTCGCCAGGGAAACCGTTCTTCCCACTCAGGCCCGCCCGCCCTCGTCAAAAGCTTGGCTGAGAGCGGGGGAGGGGTGTGTAGTGCAGAATCCAGAACGCCCGCCCCCTCCCCTCCTCTCACCCGTCTGGTTCTTCAGCGTCCTCGCCTTCTCTCCAGGCTTTGCCACACGGAGCTAGGACCACGCTCACCTTACGGTTTCCCTACCTGCCTGTCTCGCTTTCTCACCTGCGTTCCCTCCTTTCATCCCGGAGCCCGGAACCTCTGCTTCCGGCTCCACGTCCGCCCGGAAGAAGATCTGCTGCACACTTCCGCTTCCGGTCCGTGCCCTTGGGGCTCCGTCTCCTGCTGTCTTTCCGTCCGCTGCCTAGTCTGCGTCTGGGTAACATGGCGGTTGCGGCAGCGGCAGCTAGGCTGTGGTGGCGTGGAATCGTGGGGGCCGCAGCGCTGACGAGGGGTGAGAGGGGCAGCTAGCTGAGACCGGGGTCAGGCGCAGCGGCGTGCCCAGTGCAGAGAGCTCTTCAGGCCTCACCCTGCGCGTCTGTGCCTTTTATCTCCCTGTGCAGGGGCTGGGCGACCCTCAGTTCTGTTGCTGCCGGTGAGGCGGGAGAGCGCCGGGGCCGACACGCGCCGTGAGTATGTGCTGGCAGCGCTCTTCCCTGAACTGTCGGCGGGGCCCCCTAGGTGCCTGTCCTTGCCCTAGGATGCCCTTCCCTGCGTCTTCCTGGCAAATCTTGGAGACCTGACTGCGGTGGTCTTCACCCTGCATGCAGAATCGAGCCCTCCCTGTACCCTTAGGCCTCTCTGTTATGGCCCTGATTGTCCCTTGTCCGTTTCAATGGTCCCCTTTTTGTCTGATTAAACTGTTAGCTCTTCGAAAGCAAGCAATGTGCCCTTTAGTCCTCAGAGCCCTGTAATAATAGTACCTCACGTTTAGTGCTTAATGTGTGCCTGGCACCTCGCTAAGCGTTTTAGTGAATGATCTTATTTCGTCCTCACAACAGCCTTATGGGGTAGGTAGTATCTTACTCTTCTTACTATAGATCAGGAAACAATCCAAAGAATTAAACTGCCCAGGGTCAGAGACCTAGTGAATGACAAAGTAGGCCTGCCTGCTGCCAGAGGCAGGAAAACCTAACCATCATTCCGTAGCTTGTGATGTGTGAGTGCTCAGTGGTTTAGGGTTGCATGAATGAGTATGTACGTATTATGTTACAGTCAAGATGCACGCACTGGGAGTTAGGAGACCTAGCATTTCCCCTTTTCTTGGCCTCAGTTTTCTCATTGATACAAAAAAAAAAAAAGTAGGTTTCAAGGAGACAGTCTGTGAGGGCTCCTCAAGCCCTGAAGTTCTTATCTTGAGAACCTGGTATAAACTTACCTGCTAAGAAGTTACAGAGAAGCAAAAGTTCTGGTTCCCATCCTCAAACAGCTCTTAGTCTGACAGGAGAACTGAGACTACTGCTTTAGCAGAAATGCAGGTAATGTGAGGGAAGAACTGTAGAGTAATTTTGAGAAGAGGTGAACACCCCAGCTGCTGTATTGAGAGTCTTTCTGAGGACTGTGTACTTAAGGTGGCACTTTCCCCAAGTTTTCATCACTCTCTTCCCTGGAAGGGAAACCTTTCACATGCCCCTTTCTCAGGGTGCTGCAGGGAGCCTTTACTGGATTTGACATCCCTTACAAGCCCAAGAGACTGGATACAGGGCTGGCTTTTGCCTTCTCCATTTCTTTGTTAAATATGCTTTTTCCTTCCAGCCACTGTCAGACCACGGAATGATGTGGCCCACAAGCAGCTCTCAGCTTTTGGAGAGTATGTGGCTGAAATCTTGCCCAAGTATGTCCAACAAGTTCAGGTAATACGTACCACTGTTATTTGGGTCTGGGCCAAGAAAGAACCATGTTCTCAGGGCATGTGGGAGTGGGCAGACTGGTTTCAAAGAAAGTACAGACTCCTCCATCCCAACCTTGGACTTTTCCCTCAGCATTAAGCCAGATGACTCCAGCTGAAGTTAGCTGTTCCCTCAGTAGCTCTTTGTTCCCTCTCCCCTCCCTTCCATGTGTGCAGGTGTCCTGCTTCAATGAGTTAGAGGTCTGTATCCATCCTGATGGCGTCATCCCAGTGCTGACTTTCCTCAAGGATCACACCAATGCACAGTTCAAATCCCTGGTTGACTTGACAGCAGTGGATGTCCCAACTCGGCAGAACCGTTTTGAGGTCAGTCGGGAGATTTGAGAAGGTTTGGGGGGTAAGGGTATTAATTTCCGTTTGTAACAAACAATGGAGCATAGCAGTTAAACTGGGACTTCAGAGTCAAGTAGATCTCAAGTTTGGATCTTGGTTCTGCCACTAAATGGCCATGGGACCTCAGATAACTCAAATATTTTGTTTAATCTTTCTTTTTTTTTTTTTTTTTGACCGAATCTTGCTCTGTCGCCAGGCTGGAGTGCAGTGGTGTGATCTTGGCTCACTGCAACCTCCGCTTCCTGGGTTCAAGCTATTCCTCTGCCTCAGCCCCCTGAGTAGCGGGGACTACAGGTGCATGCCACCACACCTGGCTAATTTTATGTATTTTTTTAATAGAGACGGGGTTTCACCATGTTGGCCAGGATGGTCTCGATTTCCTGACCTCGTGATCTGCCTGCCTTGGGTTCCCAAAGTGCTGGGATTACAGGCATGAACCACGGTGCCTGGCCCTTGTTTAATCTTTCTGAGCTTTCATTTTCTTATCTGGAAAATAAATATAAAGCTGCCCCTATCTTATAGAATGGTTGTAAGGATCCATTGAGATAGTTCAAGTAAATTGTTAGCACACAATAAGTTTTCAATACATTTAGCTATTAATATTTTACTGATTATCTACTGTTTGCTAGACTCTGGGATGGAGAGAGAAATAACATGAAGTATTTGTCCTCCAAGAGTCCCCCCCACTCTCTCGAAGGAGAAAGACACCTAAACAGCTTACTGTAGTAACATATAATACAAAGGATATTAGAGGGATGCTTTAAGAAAGCAGGAGGGGCACTTGGCCCTGTCTGGGAGGCTTCTTTGAAGAGAGAAAATGTTTGTGCTGAATCTTAACACATGAGCAGGAGACCAGGAATTAGCCTTGTGAGGTGGACCAGGGAAATATTCCTGACAAAGGGAATAGTATGAACAAACATAGGCATGCTGACATGCTAAGCTACAGCTGTGGCCTGGGCCTTTGGAAGTAGTTGTAAGCATAGGAGAATCTTGAGGATTTGAGGTTCAGAATAGAAAGCAGGGTCACAGGGCAGAACTCTCCCAACCAGGGACTCCCATCTCATCCTTCCAGATGCTTCTGTTCTCCCTAGATTGTCTACAACTTGTTGTCTCTGCGCTTCAACTCACGGATCCGTGTGAAGACCTACACAGATGAGCTGACGCCCATTGAGTCCGCTATGTCTGTGTTCAAGGCAGCCAACTGGTATGAAAGGGAGGTGAGTTACCGGATATGGTGGACCTGCCTCTGGGCCAGAGTTACAGAACTGGTTGAGACTATGGGATGCCATGTAGCCCCTTCCCCTGTTGTTGGTCTTGATGGATTGGCTGTTTGAGGGAGTCTCTTTCCTAGATCTGGGACATGTTTGGAGTCTTCTTTGCTAACCACCCTGATCTAAGAAGGATCCTGACGGATTATGGCTTCGAGGGACATCCTTTCCGGAAAGACTTTCCTCTATCTGGCTACGTTGAGGTAGGAGCCTTGGAACTGGGACAGCAGTCTCAGGGAGGGACTTGCAGGGAACTCAGGGGATCCCTGGGAATGGCAGGAAATGTGGTCTGTGGATTGTGGTGGTTTAAGAGCATGGGCCCTGGATTCAGATCCTAGTTTCATTTTTGTAACTTGGGGCAAGTTACTTGGTTTGACTGACTCAGCTTTCTCATCTTAAAATGGCAATAATAATAGCACTTAACTAATAGATTTGTGGCAGGCACTAAATAATGTATGTGTAGGCTCACGCCTGTAATCCCAGCACTTTGGGAGACAGGAGTAGTGCTCGAGTCCAGGAGTTCGAGAACAGCCTGGACAACATGGTGAAACCTCATCTCTACAAAAAAATAGAAAAATTAACGGGGCATGGTGGTACATGCCTGTGGTCCTGGCTGCTCAAGAGGCTGAGGTGGGAGGATCACTTGAGCCTAGGAGGCAGAGGTTGCAGTGAGCCAAGATCACGCCACTGCTCTCCAGCCTGGGTGACAGAGTGAGACCCTATCTCTAAATAAATAAATGCTGTATGAAGCCTGCTGTATTGTAAAGGCTCAATTGATGCTGTGTGTGTGTGTCAGGGTCTCACTCTGTCACCCAGGATGGAGTGCAGTGGTGCGATCACGGCTCACTGCAGTCTCCACCTCCAGGCTCAAGTAATCCTCACACCTCTCAGTCCTCCGAGTAGCTAGGACTACAGGCGTGCACCACCATGTCCAGCAAATTTTTGTATTTGTTGTAGAGATGGGGTTTCTCCATGTTGCCCAGACTGGTCTCAAATTCCTGGGCTCAAGCCATCTGCCCACCTCAGCCTCTCAAAGTGCTGGGATTACAGGCGTGAGCCACCGCACCTGGCCAGTGCTATCCATTATTGTAATGATAATTTTAATGATCAAGGCAGACTTGAGGACGTAGTCTGTCCCTAAAACCTAAAGTAGAGGATTATTTTACCCTGCCCTGACTCTCTGGGAAGGCAGTGATGGGGAAGACACCAAATGTTTAGCCCTCAAGAATTACCTCTGAGGTGGGACCAATAACGTGAATAAAGAATTTCAGTGGTGCTGCAGGTTGTTTATTTGCAGGAAGATAGTGTGTAATATTATTACTCGTGACTTTTATAGCAAAGTAACTGTTTAGAAATGCTGAGATGTGGTGCTCCAGCCCTGGTCTTTTAGTCCCCAGTCACTCCTGCTGTGTTAGTGCTTTGCATGCTCCTATTTCCCTCTTAGGCTACTTCTGGGCAGGGCTGTCTCCCTTGCTTCTCCCTTTCACCCCACTCCTGCTATCTGCCTCACCTGGTTTGCCTCTTCACTCTAGCACCTGATGATCCTGACCTCATCCATTTGATCCCCCAGTAACAAGAAAAGCCATGTCAAACGTACCGCTTTAGATCTGGACAGTGAATATGCTAAGGGCCCAAGGCCTGAGGTTGTGTATCTCCCAGTTTAGGTTTACTCTTCTCAGCCACCCACTACTATAATCCTGGGCAGATGCTTACCATTACCTTATAAGAGTGTGTGGGTGGGTGAGCAGTCAGTTGGGAGCTCCTGATGCAGGAGTGGTGAGCAGGGGAGTCCGACTGGTGCTGGCAGGGCATGAGAGGTATCCTACATTTTGGAATCT